CATTGCCTACAGCCAACAGGGATGAACTCCACTAGTCATATCTTCTCACCAAAGAAGCTTCAAGAATATCCTCACGGAGCTAGTCACTAGTGAGCATATTTTTTATTTTTGCACTAAACTATTATGGAGATCGTAGTTTCAACTCGAAATCATGATTTAATCAGTGTAGGCAGTTAGTTACCTAACGAAGACAATGTGTGCAGTTTCACAATACACTCGATTGACTGAAGTTATACAATAATATCATTGAATATCAGTTCATTAGTCCAGAGTTTAGTCATTTGTGAGTAAAACCGAAGCTCTTGCGACTAGCGGGTGTTGTGAATGTACACTGTGTTGATAAGTTTCACACCAGAACAAAACTATCGCCCAGTGCTTCTATATATTTCTAATCATGTTATTACAATAATTCATTCATAATTTCAATATTTATATTTAGCTTTATATTAAAAACAACATAATTCGCCAGTAGTTATTTCTTATCTACAAGTTCATGTCTACAATTAAATCGGTTCCAATTATCAATAATAATAATAATAATAATAATAATAATAATAATAATACCTCTCATTATAGTTAAACACTATTGAACAATGTATACTTGACCTGAAAATTATAATCTCAATTTTATTAAATTCATTTTATTTCTACTGATTAATATATGCATAATGATATCAGTAGATTATTTCATTTTTTTTTTCTATACAATGGATTATGTCAACTGAAAAAAACCAACTTATTTTCAACCAATCCAGCTGACACTGACTTCAAATAAACAAACAAACAAGCGAACTATATATTGAACATTGAGCACACACTAATCTCTTTTGTCCCTAATCAAACAAGTATCATCAATACACACACAAAAAACAAACTAACAAACAAACAACACACACACACAGGATTACAATTGATTGCAAGATTAAGTCAAGAAATATCAATGTTTGTTTATCTATAATCAAAATCGGTTTTTTCCCTTTTAATTTTTGAGTTACGGATCAATGGTGGCGATGACAATGAATTGCACGATCCGCATTTCATGCTCTTCATGTAAATTGTCATGAATGAGTGTATCATCTGTTGTTATTATATATATATTTTTTTTTTCAAAGTTTAGTTATAATGATTCCAGTTTTGTTTTTGAAATAGTTAATATAATCTTAGTTTAGTTTAGTTTAGTTTTTAAAATGGAAGTCAGTCAATCCATTGGTTATGTTGAATGTGGACATTGACACAAAGAGGTGTATTGTCCCAATTTGTATTACGACATTAGAACAATAAGATAAATAGTGAAGAATTGAAATAGTGATGTCGTAATGATAGGGAAAATGAGTAAACTTTGAGAATATGGTTTACAAAGATGGAAATAAAAGAAATGTTTGGAATAGTACTAAGATTGAATATTGAGATGAAGAAAATGAGTGAATACATACTAACTTTATTGTAACCAATTCAATGACCTGTTGTTACCTGACATCTCCAACCAATGGTTATAATGATTACACAGACATCAAAACTAGTTAGTTTCGACCAACCAATATAAGCTAAACCAACCGTTAGTGAATTCATGGAAAAAAAATACATCTTCGTTTAGTTGCCTCTATTTTCCATCCAATCCCATTCTACACTAACAAATATCATCAGTCGGGGTAGTAGTAGTAGTAGTAGTAGTAGTAGTAGTAGTAGTAGTAGTAGTAGTAGTAGTGGGTTCACATTACTGAAGATAATTAAAATAGCATAAAAACAGTCAATTGTGATCATATTTATTTCGAATCCGTAGTCGTTTGGATTACGCCATTGTTATTATTTCAATCGAATTTCGATCATTTTTAGTTAGCATATATGTATCCTATGTGGAACTCCTCAGTATACATATTATGGCACAAGTTTACCCAAAATAGTTGGAATATAATCAGCAGTAGAGTTTTATTTTTTCAGTGGTCAGGTGAATGCACTTAAACTCGAGTTGAAATTTACTCTGAGGTTCGAACTCAGCACCTTGTAATTCAAATATCAGCAAGCTATGCTTCTATTTATTAAGTTCCAAAAATTGTCCGATTTTGAATTGGCGTAAAAATTTTAACTGAACTTGTATAATGATTTGGTTTATCCTGTTGTTGATATTTAGATATGCATTATGGCTTTGTGCAGATTGTTGAGTTTTACTTTATTGAAATCATGAATCGATCATTGTGTTAGACCACCATTAGAAAAAACCTCGAATCACCGAAAGTGCGGCAGTCTCGTCCTAGTATAGGACTCACCAGTGGCAGTGCACATCCGCGACTCCTGCTAGTTACAAGATTCGACCCTATGACCATCATCGGTGTTGTGCACCAACGCCTAACCTCTGGACCACTGAACCGGACATCCATTCAAATAGACAATTATAATAGCCAGCTGATAAATCGTAAATCGATCGAAAACGCATATCGTAGATTCCACTACTAACTACATTCTCATATATATTTATAAGCATCATTCAAATTCATACCATTCTACTTTCCTTTAAATTTCAGAAAATAAAAATTCACGTACAAAACACCCTTATGATTTATCCTTATTCAATAGAATCAACATATTTCAACAACACAATAATAATGGTAAAGATGAGAAAAATTGTGAAGAACGCCCAAATATGAATAATAATAATAATAATAATAATAATAATAATAATAATAATAATGCTCTTAATAATTGACGTTTACTATGGAGTCGTTTTTGTTGATTAAATATAAAAAACACAAAGATTATCTCCTATGCTAAATAACACTGAATAAGGTCAATTTAACATAAAGTGAAATGTATATTTCAATTCATATGTTCAGTTTTTTTAATTTCAACTCTCATAGTTTTTAAATATATGCACAAAATTGGGAATGTTTATTGTCAGTTAGCGATAACCGGATGGTGTAGAGATTGCTGAATTTCCATAATTTGCCTTAATGTAGCAAAGTGTTTATCCATGAATTAAGCATAGATTATCTATTATGCTCGTCACTAGGTATTCTTGGAACTATTACCGATTCACCTTAGTCGAATAACGAGAACAAAACAATGAACCAGCGTCCAGGTAGGTTACTCTGATCCGCTGACCAAAAAGTACTAACGAACAGGTCTTGATATAGCGTAGAAAGTGTATTCTACAAACACAGCCCAGCAAGCACAGTACAATCAAGCACACAAATCTAGTTTATTCATACATCATAGAGACGTCCTTGAGAGAATCATAAAAATAGCACACTAAAATACACAGCAGCCAATGACAGTCAAGGATTTTCCTGGTGGGAAATGAAATCTCAAGGTCAACTGATCAGCCCATGCTGGCAAACATGAAATCCAAAATTAGGGCATTTATCAAGCGAGTTCTGGGGATCTAGCGTGCCCAACAGGATCAACTAGGGGACTTTTAAATCTCATAGGAAATTCTCAACATTTGTTTTAACTATAATAGTTTACTTGTTCAGTACTCTACCGTTTTAAATAGGTTATTTAACTAAGATTAATTCATGATTGTCAGCAAGCACTTGGTTGACTGGATTTATGAATGACATACAATAGTGAATGTTTTCTTTTATCATTGATAATTGGCAATGTTTTTTCTTAAAAAGTAGTAATCATATAAGCTTAGTAAATTCGTTATTACTGTGAAGATTGTGGAGTTACTTTGCAAACATGTATCTATCACTGTTAAACCACCACTATTAAATACCTAGAAGCACCGGACTGCCGTTTTGTCCTAGTATAGGACTCATCAGCGATGTGCATCAACGACTCCCGGCTATCAACAGGAATCGAACCCAGAACTTTCGTGTTTTTGCTTGAGTCGTAGGATTCACCGGTTCAAGAAGTAGTCAATGCATTTTCGCATTATCAATTTATTCAATTTTTCCCGTTGCAAGTATTAAATGGTATTCACAACTATAACATTTATTAATTATTTAAATATATATGGATAGGATGGCCATTTCGTCCTGTTTTGGTACTTGTCAGTCAAATGTACCTGACACATCCTAATATTGATTTTAATACGAGGACTCGAACACTTCAGAACTATTTGAATTCAGTAGCCTATTAGGCAACTGTTAGGATATTCATCCAATATCCTAAGAGAATTATTGGTCAATTCCTATTGGTTGATTTCTACTGGTCAATTTTATGATCGTCCTAGATATCAATGTCACGTACTCGAATGTTGTTTCGTATTGGTCGTCCTAACTGTCAATGTCACAGAATTCGATGCCGTTTCCTATTCGACCAAAATGTATAAATATGCATTATCTGTAACGTTTTATGACCCGGACCCGGATCCTTAGTCCGGAATCCTTATCGTCTCCTGGACTCGGACCTCGTACTTTCTGGATGCTTGTAGAATACATGTTCTACTTCATACCAAGTCTTCTTATTTTTACTCAATATGGGGGTTGGGATAATCGGATTAGAGTAGCATGTCGTGTCGCCGGATCCTCGATCCTCGCTCTCTATTCCGACTAAGGTAAACTTGTATTAGTTCAAGCATATCAAAACGAAGTGTTTACGTTCATGCGTACCAGTAACCAATTTCGAGTTCGAACAAGAAGGTGCTGTATCTGTGTTTCAGTGTGAACAATAACATCGAGGTATAACATATGGAATCAGTCGTAAATTGGACGAAACCTGTGTTCTACACTTCACTGTAATAATCATTATGCAACTCTGTTTGATTATGCCTCTGAGTTATAAGCACTGCTCTCTCTCTCTCTCTCTCTCTCTCTCTCTCTCTCAAGATGTACACATATAAACCACACACACAAACTGAATAAAAAAATTCCATCCTTTAAAATGTCAACAGAATTACGATTTAAAAATCGATCCAAATAAATGAAAAAAACGTTAATTATTCTTTTTTGTTTTAATGAATTAAAAAATGGTGTTTTTTTAAAAAAAAGTTCTACCTTTTTTGAACATACCATCGAAAATAATTACATACCTTTTTTGATAAATTTAAAAATTAATTTCGGTCAATTATTATTACTGTTATTATTGTTATTATTATTATTACTATTATTATTACTATTATCATTATTATTATTAAACTGAATAGATCGATTCCTTAAAAACTAGAATGATTAATATGCAACTTATAGAATAATTATTTATTATTAATAGAGCAATAACTTTCAAGTAAAAAAAAATTGTTGTCATTCATTGAAAGTTTTATTTTCCAGTGATGATTTTATTTAAATGACACTTTAATAAAGAATGAAGGATGCTAATCCAGCTGGCTATGCTCCATTTAGGAAGTGGTAGGATTGTATAAGTAAGTAAGTTATCATCATCATCAACAGCAACGTAGAACTTTGCACGTAGGTACAGCAGGTTAAGTTGCCATACCACATTAGCACAGAGATATAAGTAAGTAAGTAAGTAAGTAAGTAAGTAAGTAAGTAAGTAAGTAAGTAAGTAAGTAAGTAAGTAAGTAAGTAAGTAAGTAAGTAAGTAAGTAAGTAAGTAAGTAAGTAAGTAAGTAAGTAAGTAAGTTTAATGAAAGCTACTTTTAAAGAGAAAAATTGTCCTACAACAAATAAACAGTTCAATGAAAAAAAAATCAGCGAATAGTGAATTTTTGTATTTTCTTCAAAATTTATGGATTTGCGATACTGTTACATTTCAATTGTTTCTATTGCTATTTATAAGGATATATCCTTTCATTCTGTAAGTAATAAAGACTACATTTGACCAATCTAAGCAAGTGTGTGTTTATTCTAAACTCAGCAAAAACCTACTAAAGGAAAAGAACAAATCACATTCCAGTGGATGAAGAAACTGTGAAGAATCACTAACGGGTGCGGATAGGACAAATATTTCGGAAAGCACCCAACTGCGTCACAAGACAAGCCCTCATTTGGAACCCTCTAGGGCAAAGGAAAACAAGAAAGCTAAGGAACAAATTACACCGAGAACTAGAGAAAGACATCAGAAAGATGAAGAGGAATTGGATAGATCTGTAAATGGAGGCGTAGGATAGAGAATACTGGTCGATGGCCTGCCTATGCTCCATTGGGGGTAACAGGCGTAAGTACGTAAGTAATAAAATTTTAATAAATTTGGATAGTAGTAAGTAGTGATTTCTAGATTTAGTGCTTCGTGATCAGTTGACCTTGAGATCACATTTCCCACCAGGAAAATTCTTGGCTGTGATTGGTTACTGTGTCATTTTAGTGTGCTATGTTTGTGACTGTCCGAAAGATGTCTCTATGGAGTATAAATAAACGCGATTTGTGTGCTTGGATTCATTGTGTGCTTGCTGGGCTATGTTTGTAGAATACACTTTCTACACTATATCAAGACTTCTTTCTGGTACAATTGGGATAATCAGATCACAGTAGCCTACCTGGACGCTGGTTCATTATTTTGTTCTCGTTATTCGACTAAGGTGAATCCATAATAATTTAAGCATACCTAGAGACGAGTATAACACTAACTATCTAACTTACTTACTTACTTACTTACCTACGCCTGTTACCCCTCAATGAAGCATAGGCTATCGACTAGTATTCACTAACCTACTCTGTCCTGAACCTCAGCCTGAAGCTCTTCTGAGGCAACTGCCACACCTAAGCTTGAATTAAGAAGAAGGAAGAGTTGGGCATGGAGTTGGTGACCTTCGAAATAAACAACCCTAATTAGAAATAAAAATAATTAATTCAAACCATTCACATCACAATGATTCATCATCATCATCAACATCAACATCAACAATAAGAAAAACCATTTGCTTAGTTGAACATTCTTCATCTTGTTGATTTGTTTATTGTTATTGTCATTGTTGTGATACAAATGTTCACTCACACACACGCACACACACTCACAAAGCCGTGACTACAGCTACAATAAATATTGTTTTAATGATTATTATTATTATTATTATTATTATTATTATTATTATTTGGTTCCGTTACATCTTAATTCATATGAATAATAAAAAAAACTCAAACAAGCAAACAAACACTTATCAACTCAAGTTCAACTCAATTGATTCCTACGGTTTCTGGTCATTTTAACACAGCCATTGAAAAATTAAAAAAAAAATTGATCATTTTGTTTTGTTTTACTGGACCATCATTTTTTAATTGACCTTATTTTGTTAGTTTTTATGTCTTAAAAAAGAAAAAAATTGTTAGAAGTGAAGAAAAAAGAAATTAATCTTGTTAGTAGTATAAGAAATTTGCGTGTGAAATTTTTTATTATCAGTAATAGTTGAACTGTTCATAGTTTTAGTTATGGAATGATTTTATAGTTAGAGAGATGTTTGAAAAAAAACGGTTGTTCTGTTCTGTTATGTTCTATGATGAAACTCTTACAATAGTGTACGTTAGTGAATTTATTACAAGGTGCTGTGTCTTTCAGTGAACGATTGACTTCTTCTACACCTTTGAAGCAGTATTTGAACTGTTGAATACTTGCTCAAAGGTTTAGATGTTAGTGGCTTATTGCGAGATTGAAATGCTCTGGGTTCGACCGACCGTAGCTGCTACCTACCTTGACGTGGTGGTCGGGCTTGCCAGTCGTCATGACCCAACCGAGCTATATTGGCAGAAACATATGTTCTTGTAGGTTCTATCATGCAAGGCAGGTCGATTGGAGAATGGTGAGACTAAAAACAGCTACTCATGGTCTGAGGGCGAAGTCGTACTGCTGACTGCAGAGGGGTGTGACAGCAGTAAAGTGTTGCCCTCGGACAACCAGCATCTACAGCGGTGCTGCCTTCTCACAAGGAAGGAAGAAGGGGTTAGAAAATGTCGACCCTGAAAATGTCACACCTGACCCTACCTCAAAGATTTCCGTCTCCTTCGGTAAGGGTGCCCACTAAGGGCCTTTAAGAACGGAGCTAATCCTCAAAAACCCTTCATAAAAAGGCCGTGCGTGACCGGCCTCAAGCAGTTGTCCCTTGTGCTCTGCGGTCACGCACCCAGGTCTCTAAGATCGACACTAATGTATTTTCCTTTTCAGGTCCCTCAAGAAACAACCTTTCACGGTGTGGGCAGTCGGGAAGTGACAACTGCCCTCATACCCGTAACAGAAAACGAGATCAAACTGGTCACAATCAAATCCTTCCTACACCCACGCATACCTCTCTTATCTCCGCGACTAACTCTTCTCACATTCCTTTATCACAGTGCACAGCTAATGCAAACGATGCGAGTTCATGGAACATCATTCCTGGTCTCCTGAAACCTCGTTCTAAATAACATGATGGAGCATTTAATTTACGGACATTGTGTCAAATAGGGCAACAAGCTTCATTGGCTAGGAATTTAGAATCTCGATCAATCGATATATGCTGCGTCTAGGAAACGCGCGTACAGGATCCTAGTAACATTATTAATTTGACTTCACCTTATCGAAACAAAGAAGCAGCTTGATTTACTCTTCGTGTATCCGATAGCCCTGATGCTGCTTCCCGGGGTCTTGCAGGTTAGGTATAGCATTAAGTCGTAGGGCAGAACTAGCGCTCCTAGACTGGATCCCAGTAGATAGTCGTTTGTGCGCTGTCCGACAGTAAGGTCTCGGAAATAAAGGGACACCGGTCGTGGCTTCTTCGTCGTATCTGCCTACGCTCCCACTGACTGCAGTTCAGAAGATGTGAAAGATGAGTTGTACAGAAAGCTTTCGGACCTCCTCCAAAAAGTTAGGCACTGTGATATAGAAATATTGGCTGGTTACTTTAATGCTCAAGTAGGCAGACTCAGTGAAAAGGAAAGACACCGTGGTGGGTCTTATGTTGTTTCGGCTCAGAGAACAGATAATGGTAACCGTCTGCTGCGACTGTGCTCAGATAACCGCCTATTCCGAGCAAACACTAACTTTGGGCATAAGGAAAACCATCTTCTGACCTGGCGACCTACAAAGTCGTCTCAACGTTGGACCCAAATAGATCACATCGCCATCAGCCACCGATGGAGGGGTTCGATAGAGGACTGTCGCTCGTTCTGGAGCACATGTCTAGATTCAGATCATGTTCTAATGCGAGAGAGTATTTGTTTGCGACTCAACGGACGTAGGAAAGACACCGCAATGAAACCTCTTAGGGTTCTACTTAATGATAGCAGAGCTATGAATATATTTCAGGAACAACTATAAAAACAGTTAGGCAACCACATGAGTGATCTCTATCCGGAGGCAGCTTCGGACGATATCAACAAAGCTGTGGAAACAGCACTGATGCCTGCTAGTAAGGTAAACCATAAGTCTAGGAAGAAGGCGTGGATCTCAGTAGCATCTACTGAACTGATGAATGCTCGAAAACTCATCCCATCTGGTTCTGAACATGATGAAGATCGAAGTCAGCTTAGGCACAAGGCTGATAAAAAGCCTACGCAACGACCGCGAACAGTGGTGGGTGACGAAAGCAAAAGCGATGGAAAAGGCAGCGGCGATCAACAACAGTAGGCAGCTATTCAGGCTCATCAAGGAAACCGGTATTAGAAATCCATCTGTTGGCGAAACTATCTCAGGGAAGGATGGTAGTATCATTCATTCTCAGTCTAGGAGATTAGATCGATGGGCAGAACACTTTAGGGATTAGTTCAACTAGCCTTCAGACGCACTTCGGTTGCCCACGATCTCCAGTCATCCTGAATGGGAAACCGACATAAGTCCTCCTAGTCTACAAGAATTTGAGAAAGCTAAAGGAAATCTGAAGCGAGAGAGAGTAGCAGGTTTCCTATAGGCTAACTCCTGAGATTTTTACGGATGGTAGTCCAGTTTTATCAGCTAGATTGACTGAGATGTTAGGTAGAATCTGGGAACTGGACGTAATCCCATCCGGGTGGTCTCAATCACTGATTGTCCCAGTCTACAAGAAAGGACAAAAGTCCTCCTGTGACAATAACACGAGAATCAGTCTAACTAATATAGTTTCTGAATTGTCAGCCTCGATAATCCTTGGACGCCTAACTAGTGCTCGTGAAGAGAAGTCTAGAGAAAACCAGGCTGGCTTCAGACCCGAACGTGGCTGTATAGACCACATTGTATCACTGGGACAGGTCCTGGAACACGGACTCACATTTAGGCGTCCCAGGTATGTCCACTCTCACCATTCTTGTTTAATCTTATCATAGACATGCTCCTAGAAATAACCTTATCCTCGTCTGAATTTTCAGGCCCGCTTACTGACATAAAATATGCTGATGACATACTTCTGTTTGGTGAAGAAGCTGACAAAATGCAGTCTTCTTACTACCCTAAACAACAATGCAAGCATGTTCGTGATGCGGTTCTCTGACTCGAAGTGCAAAATGTTGCTTCAGGATTGGCTTGAGTCGGCTCCTGAATTAGTGATAGGTAGTGAAGTAGTCGAACGTGTCGACCGCTTCATTTATTTTGGGACTTTCACCAGCGCTGATGGCCTGGTGACCGACGTAACCTAAGCAAAGATACAGAAGGCTCGACTGGCTTTTGTGGACTTGCGTCACTTATAGCGCAGGAGAGATATCCGTTTTGCTAAACAAAGGACGATTCTACGGCGCAGCAGTTCGCTCCGTTCTATTTTATGGCTACGAAGCCTGGCCAGTCAGAATAGATGTTCGTAGGTTATTAGTGTCTTAAAGCATTGCTCGTATATCATGGGACGGCAGAGTAAGCAATGTTGTCGTTAGGAAACGAGTTCTAGGTAGGAATGGAAGATTAATAGATGAAAGAGAGAGATAGAGATGATGAGGAATTCGGAAGATTAGAATTTCCGAGAAAACAGTGAATGAATGTACCTGCGCCACTGCAAACAATTTTGAGCCATGCCGTTCAAGGTCTCTAACCATCGGTGACTTTCGTCTTGCGGAACTTAACCAGGTGGCCTACATCTATTAACATAACTCAGTCCACTTGTCAGTGACTTCATGAATTTCCGCCATGTTTTGGTTTGACCGTCACTAGCTTTCTTCTAACCTATTCCTACATCGCAGACAGTTGGTGGCTGGGCATTCATAACACATGTCCCAACCATCTCAACTGATGAAGTTTCAATACTTCATCTATTAAAATTAGTAAATAAGGGGATATTATGGTTTATAGTCATCTGGTTCCTCAATATACTCTCCACAAATGAAGCAGGGACTATGCTTTCAATCCATCACCAAAGAAATTGTACAAAACTTTGAAAATACTGCTTCCATAATTGTCAAAAAATATTTAAGTTGCAAATTTATTCATTAATAAACACTTAGTGTAGAAAATTATGAACCGATAATACAGACTGAATAAACAAGCAACGGATGAAATAAAATAGTATACAAACTAACTCTTTTATATTGGTTTCAATGTTGCGTTTGATAAATCCATGTTGAAAATTTAACAATTCATGAGATTCTGGTTGATTTGCCACTTGCATAGGATCTTCACCTCCAATTGCACCAACAATTTTAGATGGATCAAGGGAGACATTTTTTAGGACAATGATATTAATACCAAAATTATAAAGTTCTTTCGTTGGTTCTTCAAAAACAATTTCCTTAGGATGATGGGTTGTTCGATTTGTGACATAAATACTAAATAACATGAAACAAGTAAGTAACAGAATAATGACAAATTTAGAGATAATTTGAGATTTTGAAGGCAGTAATGTTCTTCTTCGAAAATACATGATTAACTTTTGTCTTCTTTATTTAATCAGATGAGTTTCCTCAAAACTAAAATTTAGAAAGGCGAAAAATTTAGTTACTTCACAGACAATAATTAAATACTTAATATATATGTTATATATTCTGTACAGTGTTTATAGAGTAAACAGCATATCAATTATATAATATTCTACTTCAAAACCTGAGACTAGTTTCATCAACCAAACGACTGAACTAGGACAAAGTTATAAACAAAAGGTATGTGTGGTTTTTGTCCTTTGAAATCCATAAAACGAATGCTCATATTTTTCTTAAAGGAGATATTACACCTAAATATTCGGAATAAACCCATAGGACAAACCAAATTACATTTACGGGGCCATAAATAATGAACGGTTGTGTTTTGGGAACTTTACTAAAATAATTATCGAAGGAAAAACTGAAGGACGGATAAATTGTAGTGGAATACTTTTGTGAAGAGGATGAGGTTGGTGAAATGGAAACATTTATTATCGTAACTAATTGTACCAGAGATTGTTTTACTGTATTATTTTGCTTATCTATACCAAAAACCATTATCTTCCAGGTCACGTGACCCTCACACTGTTCGAAATTCCTCGGTAGTCTGGCTTGTAACGTTTGTTTGCATCTTGATATTTTTTCCATATCACTAGAACACCAACAAATATATCTCTAACTCCAATCATGACTGGTATTTTGACTCCTGGCTGTCAAGGGATTTAACTTGGTTACTACGCAATATCTAGATACAATTCGCTGTAAAATAATGCTTCTAACAATAACTAGTAATTAAATTGCTTTTACTGGCACTTCATATCATGAAAGTCAAACATATAAAGTAAAATATTACATTGTTCATCATATCCAAAAAGAAGTGCTTAATTATTATTCAAAGTTTTCAATCTCTCCTTAAATATCTTCTTAGGATGATGAAATAATTTTGTTTCAGATGGTCTTTAACTAAACTGTCACTTCGTTCCTGATTTTGGTCTACTTCCTTAACTGACATCGACTGAGTATTAGTTGGAAACGAAACAACTCTGAACAACTGTTTGGACACTGTGAAATGGATTTTAATATGAGACTACAGAAAAACACAACAGACATTGAAATCAAAGCGTCATGGCATCGAAAGGATAATGATTCCTTCTAACTACTGAGCCAGAATCTAATAGTGTATTTTCATTCTCATTCAGCAGTAAAGTGCGAAGTTGTTCAAAATATTGCCGAGTAGCTAAGCCTATGCAAAATCCGACTGCTTTAACCCCATAGTGCTTGGCTAACATTTCAAACCGCAAAAGAAAAAGACGAAGCGATAAGATTTGGCTTCAAGAATGAGGAAGATTTTATCGCTTCATAAATTACTATATATTCACTATAGCAAATTACCGTAAATAGTTTTCTTACTATATTACCGATAACAGATAAAACTGGCAGTCTAGTGTCTTATATAAGTCTGACAAGTGATAATAAACAAGTCGGAATCATGATACACATTTATTTTGTTCATTTAATCAAATACTAAAAAACTTGAAGACAGTATGCAATGGTTTTTAATTAATCGAGTTCTAAGTAAGACCGAAGCACAAACTAGTTAGTCTGTTTCTATTACAAATAATTTTGCTGTTAAAAATCAGATCATATCGTAGTATTATCTTGTAAACTGTCAACAATTTATGTACAAGTTTAAGGAAAGTTTCTTCTAGTCGGTGGATTACACTGGTACTCAATAACCTGAAAAAACAGAGAAATTTACATTTTACTGTGTGCACCACGAAAATCAAATATATATATAGAATTTGTGGACGAACACCAGTTGAGTTGATATATTTAATATATATTCAGTAATTTCAATCCTAAAAGCCTTAACCGAAAACGAACTGACCAAAACCTTATTCGTAAGGTTAGGTTAGCAATAATGACGGTTTAGATACGTGAAAGCATGGGTAGAATGTTAGTAGTCGCGCAAACTGAAAACGGTAACATGTAGCAGATTTTAAGTCTACAACTTTGTCAAGGTCGTTTGTAGCGGCGTCCAAACCAATATCCAATATCTTTTTCACAAGCTAGTGCCAACCAACTGATTTCTTTGCGCTTGATTCTTGTTCTTTATGTACGGTTCCAGGTGTTCGGCGACGACTCGCAATGAGAAAAAGTGTGCACGAATCTGATTATTCGCTCTTTAATGTGCAATCTTTCGAGGATTGCCTCGAGGGGAGTGGTGGTGATGCATCGGTAAGATGCTCACGTTGGGATGGTTTGGCGTGCTTAGTATGTTGTACGCCATAATCAGGTCACCTCTGATTCTCCTGTAGCTCAGTGGGAATAATCCCAAGATCTGGAGTCTATCGTCGTAAGTTTTATTTTTCGATCCTATCATCCATTTGGTTGCTCGTCTCTGCACTCGATCCAAGAGATTTATGTCTCTTTTAAGCAGACAGGGTTCGATGACATTGCGAACCTCAGGGTGTGGGAGCGCGTACGTCTTAAATAGTGTCAAAGTTAGTTGTGGGGCGATAGCACCAAGCTGTCTTCGCATAAAGTGAAGAGTCGCGTTTGACTTGGATGGCTCTGTAGTGTGTCGGTTTACTGAGTGTTCTTAAGCTCGGTATTTAACTCGTTCAGACAACCATTGCCAAATAGCGTCTGACGGTTTATAAATCAGAAGATGAACAAAATGATGAATATGTTTATTCGGGACACACCACAAAGTGAAGCGGAGAAGCAGTGAATAAAACGAATGAAGCGACGCGAACTGGAGAAGGCTTTTGAGCCAACTCCATGGGTAACAATGCGAACGAATGGACGAAGCGAATTGGAGAAGGCTAAGAGCCAACTTAAAGAGATAGAGTATGACTAGGAATATATAGTCAGACAAAAATAAGACAGACATATTACAAGCGAAATAGGCATGCACACACATGAATAACAGCAACGAATGATTGATAAGGTCAAAAGCAAGCGATACAAATCATGTGAGTTCATGGGGATATTAAGAGATTAACATTAAAGCGAAAAGGATGAGTAAGCGCGTAGGCGTAAGCAATGCTCAGTCGTACAAGCTCATACAAACCAGATAATAAAAAATACCAATGGTACATATGAGTTGTTGCTATACAAATGGTTTGGTTAAATAAATTAATCGAAGAATATCAAATGTCATGATGGGATAACAAAAACCAAGTACATATTCACTCTAAATCCTTAACTCTACAGTTGAGCGCAATGTAGTATTGTATAATCTTCTTTCAATATCCAGTATCTTTTTCACGAGCTAGTATAAACCAAATTGATTTCATCTAGCTCGATTCTGGATTTTTGGTATGGTCCCAAGTATTTGGTAGTGTCCGATAAATGGGGGTCTAGCCACTCGAATGCACAAATTCCAGCCAGCTGATATTTGTTTATGAGTTTTTATGTCCTCTGATTTGAATAAGTACGTTTGCTTAATGAAAGTAAGTTTTCTGGATACCAGCAGCTATCACGTTACCATGCCGTAGATGAGTTAATTGCAATGTGGAGAATAATAATGAGAAAAGCCTAAAGCTAACAGGAAGATTTCAGAACTAAGTTAGTTTATTAATTGGTAGTCAAGATTATATGTGGGGGCCAAAATCTAAGCAGGGGAGAGAAAACAGAGGTTATAAGCGAGATAGATTACATTAGTGGTCTGAGAAGATGGCAACAATAACAACTAGCAGCTCTGAAGACATGCATCGGGCACATCTGCTCCACAAGATATATGATAATCCGAACGTGAGTATATCTTTCCGAAGTTTCTTTTTAAAGCTGTGTACTGAGGGGGCTGTGGTCACCTCGGCTGGGAGATCATTCCGAATTGCAACGACTCTTAATGAGAAAAAGCGTGCAGGAACCTGACTATTGGCTCTTCGTGGCACAGTTTTTTGAGAATCACCCTGACGAGTATTCGCTCTTTCGAGGATTGCCTCGAGGGGAGTGGTGGTGATTCATCGGTAAGATGCCCACGTTTGGCTGGTTCCGCGTGCTTGATATGTTGTACGCCATTATCAGATCGCCTCTGATTCTCCTGTAACTCAAGGGGAATAATCATAAGTGCTGGAGTTTATCTTTGCAAGTCTTACTAGTTAACCCTATCTCCTATTTCGTTGCTCGTTTCTGCATTCGTTCTAGAAGGCCTCTGTCTCTTTTTAGGTGAGTAGGTACTGTAGAATCTATTTTGAATGTTTTGGTTTTTGGAAAATCCCTCCATGTATGTATATTTGTGTTCTGATATGACTGACTCTTTCTGTTGACATTTTGTACTCTATTTGATTCCATTTTGAGATTCTATCATTTGTTTATTGTTATTATTTCTATATATTGTACTTATATTGAAGTTTTTATGTTTGCTTCTGAACTGTACATATGTTGTTCAAATTTGATATTTGATATGGCTACAGCCATATTTGGATTCGATACTGTAACGGTACGGACTGGAAGCACTTATTCTTCCAGAAACGGATACCCATCGCGGTAATTTGGAACTAGAAGGTGTAATAATGTTTGGTAATTGTCTGTATTTCCATTTTTATTAAATAAGGACCGTTTTCTCCCAGAATTATTGTGTTTTTATTTCGGATCTGGGCGTACGCGTATCAAACTGCACCTATTGGAGCCGGAGTGAACTGTTAGAGTAGAAAATCCATTTACAGGTACGACAACATTATGAACCTCAAAGTGTAGGTGAGTGTATGCTTTAAAGTGTCAAGAATAATTTCGTGGTGACTGCTCCAATTTGTGATCTTACACAGTGAAGAGTCTCATTAGCCTTCTCTGAGTCCCCTACATAGTTCGAAGGTGTGTCTAGGCTTTCAGCGGTTACTAAATCAAGATGACGCTGTGAGGAGAAACAAGGAAGTGGACTTTCGTCGAGGGTGCTAGTCGTCTGTGTCACGAG